AAGCTGAACTGACGTCCAGGAACAACAACCGCAAGTGGGTGTTCTTCTCCTCCAGGTGTGCCAGGCTCAGGTGGAGAGCAGAAGAGATGGTGTCCTCCGTGGAGGTGTTCTGTCCGTAGGCGAACTGGAGCGGGTCGAATGCTGGGGGGAGACTGGAGACGATGTGTTCTTTAACCAGCCTTTCAAAGCACTTCCTCATGATTGGAGTCGATGCGACATGCCGGTAATCATTGAGTGAGGTGACCTGAGGCTCCTGTGGGACCGGAATGATGGTGGCAGACTTGAAGCATGCTGGCACTACGGATCGGTCCAGCGAGGTGTTAAATCACAAGGGATTCTACAGAGAACATTCAATTAGATCATATAGTCAGATGGGCTCTAAGTTTGTCTATCTAAGGAAAAAAAGCTAATTGTATCGACTCATGACTCCATGAATCCTAAGTACTAACCTCCTGTTAGTGCGTTCCCATGGAGGGTCCCCCCACATTAAGGACTGCCCTAAACCACATAATTAATGTGTAGGGCATGTGGACTATTCATGTTTAAACTTCCTCTGTACAATCCAGGTGCCTTCCACAGTTGTAACATTGGGCAAACCATTAAGGCTGTGTCCCTACCTCATAATTTGAGAGCGAATGAACATGGAACATCAAACAAGGTCTGCTTCAAGTGTTGAGGAACGAGGACACTATAAGGTCTTTTCACCAACACGGCTCAGAGCCCAGTCGGGTTCCAGAATGTGTTTTTGAAAAGGTAAAGACTGTTTCAACCTCATATAAGAGGTTTCAGAGCATAAACTCATCGGGCTTTGCTGAATAGCTGACACTCAGGGCAGGACAATGGAAAAACAAGGGAAAAATGAACTGTAGATCAGCTCATACAGTACAACAGATTGAAAACAGTGGAATTTCATCAGGAAAAGATGAACAACAGAAGCTGAAGGGACATGAGGGATATCTGTAATGGTATGTTGCAGTTTTTGTATTGCCATTTGTTATTTGTACATTCATGGTTCAGACTAGAATGGTGATCAATTTAATGTTTCTGATTTTCCTAGGAATTTTCATTGCTTTTATGAACAGATATTTCAAGGCAAGAAGCCGAAGTTGGCGAAAGCTAGGACTGTAGCTTCCGTTTTGGCAAACAGTGTGGCTACAACAACTCCTTTGTTTTGTATAAGGAATTCATATCTGCTTTCTATTACATCCCTTACTTATTTGGCTCTTTTAGGGCATGTTGTAGTTTTTGAAAGTATAGTAGCAACAATCAATGATTCAAATTCTGTTATTAAAATAACAATCGGATGCAAACTTCAGCCGGATCCGTTTGTTTATTTGAACTCTAAACAATTCTGTTGCGGCTCTGGCTGTATCTTTAGTGTTGTTGCCTTGATGGAAACCCATCCCCAGTCTGAAGTCATTTTGGCCTCTATAACAGCTTTATTTCAAGGAGTGCTACGTTTGTATCCTCATCCAATTTCTCTCATGACTTTGGCAAACTTCCTCCCCCTTCACCATGATACTACCACGTTTAACAATTCAAATGGTATTTTGTGGTACTTCTTGTGATGATAAGGTATCGGCTTTTAGTAGTAAATTATATTAGCCGTATCTGACTATAAGATCTTCTGCCATATATGTCTTGTATTCCTTGCATGGCCTGTGGGAAATTTTAAATGAATATTTTGTAAGAATTGGTTTATTTTACATGGATGCTCCATATAAGGGATTGCTGCAAAGAAATCTTTAGATGCGAAAACTAGACATTGAGCATCTGTTCTATTTCATCCAAAAGTTGATCACATTGAAGTCAGATCTGTGTAGTCCAGTCAAGTTTCTCTACTCCAAAACATACATAGTTGCAGCTAATATCGATTCAAACATCCAGAGCCATTGATATGAAAGTACAAAAAAATAGCACAAAGTTCTCCAAATGACTACAATTTCTGTTCATTGTATGTTCATCTGACCTCAACATGAAGCAAAGAGCTCAGAGGATATAAAATAATACTAAACTGTACCTGTATGTCTCTATGGTTTCTTTTTGGGGTTATTGGGTTGCTAGTTCTCTGTGTACTGCCTTAGACAATGCAGCCCCTTTGAAAATGAAAAACGTTAAAAACAAAGGGCTGGCTCCTTGGTTTAATGCAGAGCTGCGCACTTTGAAGCAAAATGCTAGGAAACTGGAGAGAAAATCGTGCAGGCCTACGGGAATCCTACCTAGTCTGCAAAAATAGTTTACTGCTGTAAAAGAGGACTCTTTGTAAAGCAAGAGTAGCATATTTCTCCCCATTAATAGAGGAGAATAAGAATAATCCTAGATATAGTTTTTAATACAGTTGCCAAACTCACACAGAGCCATAGCTCTGTTGAACCGTCCATTCCACCTGCTCTTAGCAGTAATGATTTTATGAGATTCTTTATAAATAAGATTGATCTTATTAAAAATAACATCATTAGCACTACTCTAAGTATGATTGTTTTATCTCTGGAAGGTAAGGCAGCATTTGAGATAGCCATAGAGTCTGCTTAGATCCAGTTTAACTTTCAGAGTTAGCAAAACTATTGCCTTCATCTAAGCCTTCAACTTGTATAGCCTTCAACGTGTATGTCAGATCCAGTTCCAAACAGGTTATTTAAGGAAGTATTTCCTTTGATCTCCTCCTCCATTTTAGATGTGATTAGTCTATCTCTGTTACAGGGATATGTACCAAAGGCTTTTACAGTTGCTGTAGTTAAACCTTTGCTTAAGAAACTGTCTCTTGATCCAGATGACTTGGTCAATTATAGACCTATATCCAATTTTCCTTTGTTATCTAAAATTCTTGAAAAAGTAGTTGCCAAACAATTGTGCGATAACATACATCAATGATGAAGAGTTTCAATCTGGCTTTAGAGCTCATCATAGCACTGAAACAGCTCTGGTGAAGGTTGCTAATGAT